TCAGAATGAGTTGGAGTCAACTGGATAGCCCACAACAACAATAACAACATTAACAGTGCAGCGTTCTACAAATTGGTTCTCTATTTACTATCATTTACACAAATTAGTTTATAATTACTACACAAACCATTTTTTTCTAAGTATGAATTTTCCATACAGGAAAACTAACCTAGAAACTGGAAGTGACTTACATATAGTTGTGTTTTAGGAAAGATTCTTTTAAAATTCATCTCTCCTCTGGTAGCATAGTGCCTAAGGCATTTGACTGCTAACCAGTCAAATCTGGCAGTTCAAACCCACCAGCTACTTCTCAGAAGGAAGTTTGGGCAATCTACTTCCATAGTGGTATAACCTCAGAAACCCAAGGAGGGGTCTCTATGAGTCAGATCTGACTCGATGGCAATGGGTTGGGTAAGAGTGTAGGACATTAATATTTGAATCTATCAATCAAACCATAGAATTGAATGTATCTGGTCTGATATTTGAATAACTGAATATGCACTTGCACACACACACACACACACACACACATTTAGAGGTATATGAGGAGTAGGATCTTTTTCTAAAAAAAATTATTTACTCAGAAAATTAAAATAACTCACTGCCATTGAGTCAATTCTGACTCATAGTAAACCCCAATGTGTTTCAGAGGTGGTAAATCTTAACAGAAGTAGATTTCCCAGTCTTCCTTCCATGGAATGGCTAGTGGGTTTGAACTGCTAGATTTCTGGTTAGCAGTCAAGTGCCTTAGGTACTATGCTAGCAGAGCTCCTGGTGGTTAATATAGATATATACTTTGTATATAACATGCATTCATCAGAACATAGATGGAAAAAAAATCCTGGTTAGTTAGTGGCAGAACCAAGAATAAAATCAAAATTATCTAAAGTTAATTTTCTTTCACTTATAATTAAAATACATTAATGATAAGTGAAAGAAAATTAACTTTTCACAACCCATTAGATAAGTTTGATTTTATTTTTGGTTCTGCCACTAACTGATCAGGAATGTTTTTCCATCTATGTTATGATGAATGCATGTTATACACAAAGTATGTAAAAAGAGTGTCCCTTGTACCAAGGATACACTATTTCAGTAAGTGTGTATTTAGACTTAGAAGTGTGTATATTTGGTTGTTCCAAAGAAATATTGATTCAATGGGAAATAACACTCATTATCTTGGCAATATTTAAGAAACCAGTAGCCTGATGGAGCATGGATTGCACACACTCACAGACACACTCACACACAGATAGCTGTACAAGTTATTACATTTTAAAAACTTGGCTGCACTATTATGCACAAATTCTACCTTTTTCACAAAATTTCCAATTATTGGCTAAGAAGATGAGACTTCTGGAGAGTGAATAAGAATGCCATTTGTCAAGTAAAATAAGAATTGTTGAAAAGTAAATGGATCATAAGATCTGCCAAAAAGAAAAATCAAAAAGGTTTTCAACAATGGGGGTGATGGTCAAAATGAAACTTCAGATATAAATTAAAAATCATTATCAAGGCTTTAGCTCCATTTTGCCCCCTTACTCTACCCAAAAATTTGAATGCAAATAACACCAGTAGAAAATTTTAATGAATTAATAATTAACTAGGAAAATCTTTTCCAAGTTCTACACAGGCCCCCGTCAATATATTTTAATCATATATTATGCATATAACATATTTCACATGGCTTTTAACCACAACTCCATCAAGACCAGTGTGACAGTCTTGGAAGAATGATTTCTCCAGGTTCCCTTGTAACAATTGCCTTGAGAGTCTGCTGCCTACTAATGCAGAAAGCCAAAAGTCCATGTTAGCCAACTCACTCACCAACATCTGGATTAGAACCTTTTACTTTTTAAACTAAAATTATAACCTTTTGTCTCACCCTATGCAAAATTTTCTAATAAAACTGTTATCGTCTGTTATAGGATGTGCAGCCAAAGAAGTGATTCCCTTAGATGTCTAGTTATTTCTAATGTTGAACTCATATTCATCTGGAGAATTCTGTCCCTCAGCCAGTCATGGCTACTCAGGGGTAAAGGTGCAACGCACAGCACATCTTGGTGAATTACAGAATGAAGGACATTCCACAAGGCAAGAAGGTA